GCACACCGCGCCCCCCACCCCCGGCGCGCCCAGCGCCGCGGCCAGCAGGTCGTCCCCCAGGCCGGCCAGCTGGGCGGAGAGGGCGGTGGGCGGGAGGGGGGTGGGGGGGCGGAATGCGTAGAGGTCGACGTCTTTGTACTTGGCCTTGACGTGCTGCTTCTCAACGACCTGTGTGTGTGTGTGTGCGTGTGTGTGTGTGAGTGGGTTTGAGAGTGTGTGTGAAAGAGAGGGAGAGAGAGTGTGTGTGTGTCAGTGTGTGTGCTTGCGTGTGATGGGTGGAGGGATAGATGTTTTGATGGGTTCGCGTGTGTGAGTTTTGGGTGTGTTTGTGTGTGTGTGTGTGTGTGTGTGTGTGTGTGTGTGTGTGTGTGTGTGTGTGTGTGTCAAGCACAGCCTGTTGGGTGCCGCAAAAAGGTCGGCCTCAAACGCGCCTGCGGGGCGCCCTCCAGCGCGTCACCCAAGCTTGCTTCGCCTGCAGTCCAAGCCTCGCGGCGGCCCCGGCCGTCGCTCCCTCCACCCATGGCACTTCACCTAGCATTCAGTCATCCTTCAAACGCATGGGCCCGTAGTGGGCTGCGGCCTTCCACCCTGGCAGGCCGCCGCCCCCTACACACTACCCTGGTGGGCTGCCCCCCCATCACCAACCATGTGGCCCCCAATCCCCACCCCCCACCCCACCCACTCACCCTTGCGAAGAGCTCCTCCTTGGCCAGTGTCCTGTCATAGATGCGCTCCTCCAGGGTGGCCTGGCCACATGTGAGAGGGGGTTTGGTGAGTGTGCATACGTATGTGATTGTGTGTGAGTGTGGAGTCATTGTGTAGCGTATGCGTATGCGTGTACGACGACTGCACACACAACACACCAAACACAAACACACACCTGCATACGATCACACACACACACACACACACATTCATTGACTACAACCCAAGCCCCAACCCCCACCTTGTGCAGCAGCCTGTAGATGAAACAGGGCCGAGTCTGGCCGTAGCGCCAGATGCGGCTCACGGCCTGGGGGGGGCAGCGTGGGCCGATATGTTGGAGGGTTTTGCGGCCGATCAGAGCGCGTCTGGCTGTACCCTATGCGTTTATAGGCGCGTGGTGGTCGAAAAACCCTGGATGTTGAACCCTATCGGCAAGGGGAGACGGAAAATGGGAGGTGGTAGAAGGGCGCGAGGGCGGTATTGGCCGGGAAGGGCCCGGCCGCATGCAAAAGCTGAGGTTGTGAGAAGCCTGCGCCAGGGATCTGCGCGCGCGGTACATGCACACTTGGTGGGTTTGAGGTTTAGGGTCGCAAGTTGAGTTTGCGTGCATAGACAGGGGCGAGGGGGGGAGGGGGAGAATGGAGGGGAGTGGGCCGCACCTGCTCGTTGTGCACCGGGTTCCAGTCGACGTCCATGAGCACGAGGCGCGTCGCGCTGACGAGGTTGATGCCCACAGACCCCGCACGCGTGGACAGCAGGAACACCTTTTGAGGGGGGGGGCACGGGGTCGGCGAGATGGGCGAGTTTGTACAAGTGTGTGTATGTGCGTGTGTGTGTGTGTGTCTGTGTGTGCATTGGTTGGAATGGAACTTTGGGGGTCGGGGGTGGTCGGCGGGGTCGCGTTTGGTGGGTGGGGTCTTTGGCGGTGGGCATGGCCGTCGGATAGTGCACACCCGCCCGGCCGGGCGGCCAGCGGGACCATTATGCTCGGCAGCAGACGCCTCCTCACGGGCGACAGGAACGCGCCGGCGGGCCACGCGGGGCGCGCCGCGCCGCGCGGGAGGCGCGGCGCGCGGGGCGCGGCAGGGGGACGCTGGCAAAGAGACGCGCCTTGGCGCGGCCGTTGGGGTGGTTGAAAGCCTTGATGAGCCGCGCGCGCTCCGCCGAGCTTGTGGCGCCCTCCAGCCGCAGCACCTCCCCCTCCGCCCCGGCCCGGTCCAGCCGCCACCCAAAGTCCTCCTGCAGGGCCGGGTCACAGGGGTTTGGGGTTTGAGGTCTAGGGTTTAGGCGAAGGGTTCTCCGGCCGATTCGACCGTTTGGACGAGTCATAGTCGCTGGCTGCCACACCGTTGGCATATCTTGCAGGGCATTAGCCTCATCAGGCCGCATCGCGCGGGATGCGAGGGCAGATTCGGCGAGATGGCAGTTTCGTGGCGCTGGCATGATGCATGATGGCGCAAAGGTGTATGTGTGTGTGGGGGAGGGGGAGCTCAAGCGATCGAAAACTTGCGAGCAGCACCGACGCCCCGCGGCGGCGTGAGGGACGGTGCTCCCAACCATGCAGGAGTCAACGGCGCCCGCAAGGGCGCGTGCTTGCTGCAACCACGCCTCGGCTTGCCCGCCCCCACCCCACAAGCCGCCCCAAGGCCGCTGGGCCGCGACGAGGCGCCGCCGCTGCCGCGAATGGGCGGTCTGAGGCCGTCGAGGCGTTGCCCAGGGGCGCTCCACTGACCGCGCCGCCCGCCGGGGTATCTCCCCGCCCGCCACAACAATACCCCCCGCCTTTTCATACACAACATGCCCTGACACATCCCCCTGTTTTTATCTTGTCATGCTCGAAAAGGCCACGGCCCTTGAAAAGCATCCAACCCTCCAAAATATCCAACGGGCAAAATTTCTGCATCAAAGCGTCCCCTAAAAAGCGCCCGCCCACCTCCAGCATGCCCTGCAGAAGGTCGAGCACGTCGATCCGCTTGGCAAACAGCACCAACCGCTCGCCGCCGCCGACGCAGGCCCTCTCCACGAGCTGCCTCACGAGCGCCATCTTAGGCAGCGCCCGCCACGACAGCGGCGGCGGCGGCGGTAGCTCCGCGGCGGCGCCGGCGCCGCCCTCGGCCGCGGCCGCGGCGGCGGTTGCTGACGTGGCGGCGGTCGCCGACGCGACCCACTCGTGGGCGCGCGCGTGGAGGGCTTCCAGGGCCGGCAGAGACAGGGAGATCCGGATCTTGTCGCCGCCGCTCTTACGGCTTCCAGATGGCGCGCCGGCGCCTGCTACAGCGGCAGACCCCCCAGGGGCCGGCGGCCGCCCGCGCCGCCGCGGCCCCGCCGGCGCCGCTGCGG